GTGATAACTTTTAAAATATTTTTTTTATTTTATTATTTAAATAAATAATCTTTAATTTTTAGTAAAAATCATAGTTATTATCTAAAAATATTTATTTTATTACACAATTTAATTTTTATTTTATGTTGATATTGTTTTTAGCTTTAATTATATAACTTATTTTTTATATATTTGTTGATTTTAGAAAATAATATTGATTAAAATAAACATAAATTATTTTATTTATAAATAATATTTTATATTCAAATAAAAAAAAATGCAATATGAAATAATATTAATAAAATTTATTATATAAATATTTTAATGATTTATTCAAATTAAAAATAAATAATATTTTATAATTATGTATTTATTGTTAGACTATTATAATTTTTCTAAATAAATTAGTAAATAATTTTTTTTCAATAAAAAAATTGAAAATAATTTAAAATATTTTTCTATTTACTGAAAAAAATAAATAATTATAAATAATTTTTTAAAACTGTAAATATTTATTTTAAAATAAATAATTTAATTTTTATATAGATTTTAATCCATAAATTTTATTTTAATAAAAAGATATCAAATATTTAATTATAAAAATTGGATGGTAAATTATAAAAAAAATATTTTGTGGAAAAAAATATAATTTATTTAAAAAAAAATATAGAAAAATCTGAAGTAGAAAAAAATACTTTATAGAAAATAAAAAAATAAGAAAAATCTAGAAATAAAAAAAAAGAAAATAAGAATAATATTAAAATTCTATAAAAAAAATATATTTAACCCGAAAAACTTTATCTAAAAGCCAAAAACCATTTAGAAAAAGATTGAATAAAATTTCATTTATACAATTTTATAATGTGTATAAAATTCTTACAAAACAAAAATAAAATAAAAATTAAATATAAAAGATGGATATAAATATTTATTATGATATTTTGTAAATATGGAATACTAATAAAATTAGTTTTATAGAAGTTATAATTAAAAATAATTAAAAAAAATGTTATAATAATGAATTTTTTAGTATAAATTTTATTATTATTTTTTATGTAATTTTATACAATAATACAATAAAAAAAATATTAAATATTTTATTTAATAAATTGAATAACAATTTTAAAGTATGAATATATAAACAAAGAAAAAAAAATAATTGGCTTAATATATAAAAAAACAATTTCAAGTTAAAAAAATTAAGAAAAAAAATTGGTCTTATCTAATTGGAAATATTATTAATAAAGTTATTTTTATATATAATTATTATAATTTTTTTATAACATCTACAAAAAAAAATTATGAAAAAATATATAAAAATAAAAAAATAATATGAATAAAAAAAATAAAAAAATATTATAAAATATGTAATGTATATATATATTAATAATTATATATTATATATTATATATTATATATATTATATATTATATAAAATTTTATTTTTCAAAAAAAATATTGTTTTTTTTTTTTTATATTTAATAAGTCTATAATTTTTTTTTTTATAATATAAATTTTTAAATAAATATTTTTCTTTTAACATTTTCTATATTTTTTTTAATTATATATATATTTAAGTAAATTTTTTTTATAAAGTAAAATTAATTATATTTATTTTATATTTTCATATTATTAATTTTATATTATATGATTATTTATTTTAAATAAATAAATAAAAATAATTTATATAAATTAATATATTTTATATTCTATATTTCAAAAAATAATACTAAATAAATATATATATATTAAATAAATTAGATAAGTTTTTATTTTTGTATTAGCATAATATTTAAATTTAAATGATATTTTTTTTAAAATTCGTATTTTTCATTATTAATTATTTTTATATTTCCGATATAATTTTTTTTTTTTATATATATATAAAATAAAAGTTATTTTGTTTCAAAAATTATATTTTTTGTTTTTTTATATATTATACACTATACCTGTTTTTTTTATTTTTTTTAACTTAATTTTATAAGAATAAAATTGTTGTTCTTTTAGCTACTTTTGAGAATTTTTTAGTAACAACGGTTTATGAAATTTTTTATCTATTTCCTTTTTCATTTACACTATTTACTTTTTGATATATTAACATTATTTATAAAACCATAAATTAAGTTTAAAAATACAAAAATTTTAGATATATTTTAATTTTTTTATAAAATAATTTATTTTTTATTTTTTTTATTTTACTATTTAACTTTTATAAAGATATTTAGTGAAGTATTTTAAATTTAGCCTTATCCTATAATATTTGACTAACATTTTTTTTTTCTTTTTTAATTCTTTTTAAATTTACTTTACTTTAAGTTATTATCTGTATAATTTTTTAATTAGATTTACATTTTTGTATTAATTAAATATTATTTTTAATCATGTAGAAATAAATATTATTTAAACTAATAATGATTCACAGTTTGATTTTTTAATTTTTTCTTTATTATTAATTATTTTATTTAACTTCAGAATTTTTTTTTTTTATAAATAAAATTATTGTTCGAAATTATATGTTTCTATTATTATTCTTCTTATATTTTTTTATTTGAGCAAGAACAATAAGAAAAAAATGAAAATGCCAAAAATAGTTTAATACATTAATATAATCATCTTTTTGCTTTTTACGTAAATTTATTTTATAATCAATAAACAGTAGGAGATGATAAATATCCTATTAATTTAATGAATATAAATAATTACTACTATTCACAAAGTTCTCAATTAGACTAAACATCATTTTAACTAAAGCAGGTACCATTGCTTCTCCGAAAACTAATAAAAAATAAATTAATATTGCACTCTATATGAAAGAATAAAACCATGATTTATGTGTTATAGACAACGATGATAAATTAGAAGAAATAAAATATAATTATTTATTTTTGATGTAATTATATTCCTAATTTTGGGTTACTATACCCCAGAAATGTAATCGAATGGTAGGATTAGTCAATTAATTATCAAATAAAAAAAAATATTGATAACTTATATTATTAGGATTTTTTTAAGTCATCTAGAAATTATTTGATTACAAAATATAAAAGGGAAATTATAATAAATATATATATAAATTTTTATTAAAAAATATAATATTTTAGTTATATATTTCTATAGTAGTTTGGAATTTTATAAAAAAAAATTAAATGAGAAAAAAACCTTTTTATAATAATAATATCTAACTTTAGTTTATTATTTTCTATTCAAAACTAATAAACCCTCAACTTAACACAAAGAAATAATTTTTTATTTATATTACGATTATTCCATATATAGGAAATTCCTAATTCAAAATCTATTATATTAAATTTGATCTATGTTTTATCTATGACAGCTGGAAGAATTCCATCATAAAATATTGTGAATATATGTTCAGACACATTATAAAAATACATAAATGGAATACTTTAAGCTATTTAAAGATTTCGGGCTTTTGGTTAAATATATTTTATTTAACACGATTTTCTATACAATTTTTACTTATTAATTTTAAGTTATAAATTATTAATTTTTATTTTATTTATTAAATGTTATTTTTTATTCAACTCAATTTTATTATAAACTTTTTATTAATATTATTTGTTAAATAAATTATAAATATAAAAAAAATTAAGAAATAAAGTTTATAAGAAATAAAATTTTAATCATATATTTTATGACATTAAAATAAATATATGCAATTTAAAAAATTATTATATATTAGAATTTATATATTTAATTAAAAATATAAAAAAGTAATTATTATAATTAAAAATAAATGCAACTGTATATATTAAAAAAAAATCTAATAATAAAAAAATTATTTCTATTAAAAAATATTATTTACTTATAATAGAAAAAATAAAATTGTGTAAAAACTAATAATATTTTCAATGTTTATAATATACAAAAAATTAAAATCTTTATTATTATAGCTATAAACAATAGCAATATAAAAAAGAATAAAAAAATTGTTGAATACTAAAATAATTTATTAGATAAAAGTCATAATAAACAATATAAAATTAATTATTTAATTAATAAAAAAAAAATAAGATGAAAATTGCCAATTATAATTTATATTTAATAAATAGATAAAAAATAAAGTATTTAATACTTTTATAAATGTGTAAAAATATAAAACCATTAATTATTTCTTAATATCGATTTATCAAATATAAATATAAAATATTGAAAATTATATAAATATAAAAAAATATCTTTTTATGTTAAAATATATTATATATTTTCTATGTTTTTCATTGTATATATTTAATTAATTTCTTAATTTATGATAAAAAATCAAAATATTTTCTTCTATAAATTTATAATCCATATATAATAAAATATAATAAATAATATTATTTTTCTTTTTTAAAATAAAAAATAAAACAATAAAATAATAAATAAATCTAGTATAAAATTTTTATTTAATATAAATCTTAATTTAATAAATCTGAATATATAATATAATTTAAAAATCTTTTTTTCTTTAAAAATAAAATATTAAAATAATAATTTATTTTCTAATAGATTTATTTAATTATTTAATTAAAATATACATAATTTATATAATTTTTTATAATTTTGTAGATTTATAATGATATTTAAGTGATTAATTTATATAAAAAATAATATTTAATTATATTTTGTATTGATTAAACAATAAAATTAGTAATTAATAAATATAAATTATTTATATTTAACAAAAAAATATTATAAAATAATAATTAAATATAATATTAAATTTTGATTTGTCATAAATATTAATTTATTATAATATTATTTCGTAATAAAACTTAATTTAATAAATATTAGAATTCAAGTTAAATGAAACAAATAATTTTTTATATATAAAATTATCTTTATTTTAATTAAAAAATAAAAAAAAAATAAAAAAAATATAAATATAATTAATCATATTAGGAAATATTATTAAATTAACAATATAAAAAATGTTTAAAGAACAAATTTTAATAAGTATTTTGATATTTTGTAAATTGATATATACTTACCGTAAATGTGGTCATGACAGTAAAGAAATGCAAGATCACTATGAGAAAATGTACAGAACATATGAAAAAATGGAAAAATCAAACATTGACTAACGTATTCTTTAAGCAGGTTAGGGGCCTTAGCCTATAAGAATAACTACAGACTATACCATGCTAAATTAATTTGATAAGGGAATAACAGAATAATAAAAAAACTACTTGATAAATCTTATGGAAACATCCATACTTTATTTCTAAAGACTTTTGAAAGTATACCCTTTAATTGAAAATAACATTTTTCCTTAAATATTTAAAGGAACATGTATGGATCATATAGTTCCTAATAATGATTAAACAAATGGAATTCCTAATTCCGATTTACACATATACGTCATCTATAGCAAATAATTTACTTAAACAGTTGCAAATGCTGGATTTTGTGCTTATTCTAATATAGGATATACTAGACCTACTTTTGGAAGAATTAATTTTAACTTATTAAATATTAATAAATCTATTGATAATAAAAATACTTTCTAGGAAGATTTGTAAACAACTATTCATGAAATTTTACATGTACTTGGTTTTTCAGGAGGCGGTATGTACTTTTGGATAGATCCTAATACTGGATAATATTATGGAAATGAATTTAAAACTAAATTGTTTATAACAAAAACTTATAGAGGAAAAAAAACAACTCTTTTAACTTCCAAAAACATAGTAGAAGTTACTAGAAAATATTATAATTGTCGTTCAGCTGAAGGAATGTAATTTGAAAACAATGTAAAATATATATATATTAATATATATAAAATATATATATTAATATATAATAAGGAAAAAGATAGTTCAATGGGTTCTCATTGGGAAAGAACTGTTATTTATAATGAAATTATGACAGGAACTAAAGTATTTACTAATAGTGTTTTATCGATATTTACAATCGCTCTTCTGAAAGACACAGGCTTTTACCCTGAAGTAAATGAGAATATGGCCGATAATATATTTTGGGGAAAAGGAAAAGGCTGCGATTTCTTAGAAAACGCTTGCTAAAGTACATTCGAATACCCTGAATATCCTAAAAAGAATGATAAAGAATAATGTACATTTGAATATGATGGAATTGGTGTTGGTGCATCTGAAGTATTCGCAGACAATTGTACTTTAATATACTTCTATCCTAATAGATTGTGTACAAATCCTAATAGTTTAACTAGTGATGATGATAAAAAAAATGAATAGGATAAATTATCTAATTATTCAACTCAAAGTAAATGTTTCTTATCTACAGCTATAAAGTCCTCATCTGCATAGTTTCTAGATTAATTCAGATGCCATTAATTTAAATGTTTCCCCGATGCTTCTTAAATAACCGTTATTTTCCCCGAGGTTGATTTATAAGTTATATGTGGAGAAGGAGAATAAAATACAAAAAAGGAAGTTGATCCATCTGGTCAAAAAGCCTAAGGTTAAATTACATGCCCTGAAGATTATTAAAGATTTTGTAATTATACCCCTATATGTCCAAATATTTGTTCCGAAAAAGGAATTTGTGTAAATGGTCAATGTATCTGCTAAAACGGATTTGGAGGAGTTGATTGTTCCATACAATGTTCCGGAGTAGTCGATAATAATACCTGTGTAGAAGGCCAATGTCCTTAAGCCAAATTCTTAAACCCAGATAATACTTGCAAATCAGATTGTCCTTTAGGTTTATTCGGAAAGGATGGAAGATGTGTGCCATGTAACATCAATTGTTCTAGATGTAATGGACCATCAGCTAATGAGTGTACTAGATGTTAGTCTATGACATTATTGCAAGAAAATTAGTGTGTTGATGATTGTGATGAAAAAAGAGGATATTATTCTAATTAAAATGGCGTTTGCGTACAAATTTGGTCTAAAACTTGTGGAGGAAATTGCGACATTTGTTTAAAAAATAATTAAAATTTGTGTGTTACATGCAAATAAAGCTTTTTTTTAAAAGACGATAATAAGCAGTGTTTAAGTCAATGTCCTAGTGGTTTTTTCAAAAACTACTTTACTTATACATGTGATAAGCTTTCCTTAGGATGTCTTTAATAAATACATCCTAATATATGTTCTTAATGTGATACTAATAATGGATTTAGATTAACTTAAGATAATAAATGCACTTTGTGCTAGTATCCTTGCTCCAAATGTAATCCTAATAATTCGGCTTAATGTTTTGAATGTGAAGGAAGTTATTTACTAAGTTTTGACGGTAGTTGTGTGGAAGATTGTCCTGAAGCTAGTTATTATTCTGATAGAAGAAAAAGATGCTTAAAATGTTATCAAGGATGTTAAAAATGTGATTATAAGGGTTGTAGTGCATGTTATGATAATTAATATCTTAATTATAAAACTAAAGATTGTCTTATATGTGCTAATGTATATCTTTATTGTCAATAATGTGATTATTACTAATGTAATAAATGTTAAGATGGATATTAATATGATTAAACTAAAAGAGAATGTATAAATGTTTCTTCAGAGGAGGTATCAACAGGTCAAAATATTGGAATAAAATGTCCTGAGGGATGTAAAAAATGTTCTTAATCTAAAGAATGCCTATAATGTAAAACTGGTTTTTACGAAGATTAAATAAGTAAATTATGTGTTAAATGTAGAACTAAATTTAATAATTGTATTAAATGTACTGAAACTAGTTGTAGTAGATGCAATTCTCGGTTTTAATATGATTAGATTTAAAAATAATGCATAGAAATCCCTATTACAGATGAAAATACAGTAATAGAATGTCCTAAGGAATGTAAGAATTGTTCTTAATCTGGAATAATGTTTAGAATGTTAAGTCGGTTACTTTGATTATTCGGAAGATAATCCGAATATTTAAAACTATATAATGTCTTAGTTGTAGTATTAAATTCAGTAATTGTAGTTCTTGTGCTTCAACTTATTGCTATTAATGTTTATCTGGATACGAATATTATGATTATGAAGATATTTGTGTTAAAGTTTTTGAAAAGGATAGTACTAATAATTGCAACGATGGATGTTCCACATGTAATAGAAATGGAATGTGTATAATATGTTTACCGGGTTATAGTTAAGATTATTTTTATATTAATATATATAAATATAAAGTATGTATTTAATGTTATACTAAATACGTTAGTGAATCCAGAACATGTTTAAATTGTAATTTAACTGAATGCACTTTATGGGTGTTGAATTGATGAGTCTTCAAAATAATATCGCCTTATAGATTTTTACTTTAGGTTTAAGGCGTTAACCAATATTTAAAAAGTATTTAAAGAGTGGTGGCTTTTATTATTTGTTCAAGGAGTCGTTGATTATATTTAGATTATAATTAAAATTACTATGAAAATCATATGAAAAATTATTTTTTATATATTTGTTTAGTTTGGCTTTTTAATAATTATTCTATATATATTTATCACAAATATATAATCAATTTACTATACTTATTTATTTTATTATTATTTTTAGTAAATAAAAAAATTTTCTCAGAAATTAATTATTTTAATTTATATTTATAAAAAATATTTATTGAGTATGAATTCTTTGTAATTTTAAAATTAAATATTTAAAAAAGAAAAAATTAATATTATTTATAACTTGTTTTATTTTTTTATTTAAAATAAAATCTTTATTAAAATAATTAAAATAATAAATATTTAATATTAAAAAATGAAATTTTAAATAATTAATATATTCAATGAATTTTAAACAAATTATAATTTGAATTTTTAAATTTATTTAAATTTGCTAATTTATAAACATAATATTATGTCAACCATATTTTCATATTCTTTTGAATAAAAAACTGTGCCTTTTAAAAAAAACATTTGTAAAATATAAAAAAAATATTATTATGTATTCTATTTCCAGTCATGATTTTATTTTAAATAACAATTCATTCACATCTAAAATATATATATCTTACATAATGTTTAGGATAATTTCTTCAGTTTTATGATAAATATAATAATTTCTTGTAACTTTTAATTTTTTTTAGGAATTTAAAATTTATTATTTTATATTTAACTTATAGTTTTATACTTAATGATTTTAATTATCAGAATCTATCTAAAAGTAAATAGTGGCTCATGAATAACTGAGTTCATGTAAAATTTCATGTAAAGTTGTTTCGAAATCATTCTCGAAAATTGCCGGGTCTTTATAAATTTTATTCGTTATAATTGGTTAAAATTAACAATTCAAAAAATATGTTGAGTATATCTTATATTAAAAAAAGCAAAAAATAAAGTTTTTAAAATTGTATAAATTTTTATTTTATTATAGTGAAGTATAGATGAAAATCAAAAATATCAAATTAATTTATTAAACGAATATTAAGAATTCAATAATTAAAAAATATTTATAATTACATTTATATTTATATTTTTATATAATATAAATATAAATATAATAAATTACTATTTGAAAGTTTTTAAAACAAAAGTTAATTATATTAAAAAAGAAAGACAATATTAAGAAATAATAATAAAACTGATTTTTTTAAATTATAAACCATTATTATAATTAGTAATTAATTACGACTATTTAGAATAAAAAATTTTTTAATTATAATATTAAAATTATTAAAAAAAATTAATATATATATATATATGATTATGAAAAATTTAATATATTTTATAAGTAAAAAAAATAATTTTTTATATAGAAAATTTAATTTTTTTTTTATTAATTAAATACAAATAAATTTATCTATAAATTTTATTAATAATTTATAATATTTTGGTTTAAAGATATTAAATTATTAATGTTTTATAATAAATTTTTTTTATTTTAATAAAATATTTTTATTTTTTTTAATTAATAATAATTATATATATTATAAATTTAAAATCTCAATAAATTTTTTAAAAAAAATATCCAAAAATAATAAAATTATATATTTTAGAGGAAAATAGAATTTATAAATGAAAAAGATTTATATTATCAATTATATAAATTATTATAAATAAATAATTTATTATTAAAAGTAAATAAATAATTTTATAAATAATGTTAATCTGTTTGCTTTATAAAATCATAATTTATAAATAAAGTAAAAATTTTATTTTAAAAAATTTAATTAACAATTCAAGAAAATAATAAAATTAATTCATATGAATATTGGAAATTTTTAGTTTTAAATAACATGAAATTTTTTAATATATATGGTTTTACTTAATATTAATTTACTTCCTAATAAAATTATTTTTAATCAAAATTAATATAATATTATATATAAAAAAAATAACCAAATTAAATTAAAAAATATGAATTAAACATTATATTTCCAATAAAATTATTTAGAAGATATTTTTTAAAATTAGATTTTAAATAATACAAGTCCAAAATAATTAAAATAAAGGATTGCTTGAAAAAATAAAAAAATCTTATGAAATAAAATCTGAAAACCAAACCTTTAAAAATCCGAATAAATCCTTTTACCCAATTTTTGTTTTAAATATTATAAATTAATATAAATAAAAAAGTCTAATTTTAATATATGATTATATATAAATTTCTATATATCTATAATAAGATATCAGATGAATATTATTTTTTTTTAATAAATTATTTTTCAATATATTATTAAAATTAATAATATTTGCTTAAAAAAAAAAAAAGATTTATTATCAATTTGATTAAAAAAAAAAATATTCTTAAAATGGATTTAAAAATATATTATTATTATATATTGAATATTTTTTAGATTATATAAATTATAATAATTAATTAAATTTATAATAATTATTGACTAACCCATATAAAAAATAATATCAATCTAAGAAAATTCTATTATATAATTAATTTTTAAAAAAAAATTAAATAATATGTTTTATAATATATATTTATTTTAGAAATAAATTATTGATTTATTTTATTATTTTCAGTTTTTGATATTGATCTATATTTCTCATATAATAAAATTTATTTATTTTAGTTTTTAAAATCCTTATTTTTTGCTTATTATAATATAGGATATACTCATTATACTTTGTTAAGACTTGGAAACCTTTGAAATAACTTTACATTAAATTTTACATATACTTAGTTTTTATAAACCGCTATTTTTTTTTAGATATATTTTGATAATTGAAAATTTTAAGTATATAACTATTAAATTATATTTAAAATAATAAATTTTAAATTCTATAAAAAATTAGAAGTTACGAGAAATTATTATAGTATCATGAAGCTTAATAAATGTATCTTAAAAATGATGTGAAATATTTATATTAGAATATTAAAAATAAGTAATTTTAAATTAGGATTTAAAATATAATTATGATGAAAATAGTGTTTATAATAATTTTTTTTTTATATTTCCAACAAATGTTTTAAAATACACAGTTTTTATTTTAAAAGTATATGAGAATATTGTTGACTAAATATTATGTTTATAAATAAGCATATCTATATAAATTTAAAAATTTGAACTAAATATTTTTTTTCTTTAAAAATTATTTTCATTCAATATATATATATTAATTATTTTTTTAGCATATTTAAAAATTTAATATTTATAAAGATTTTCGTCTAAATCTTATAAAAATAAAAAAAATTATAATTTTATTCGTATTAATATTGTTTTCTTTAAATTTTAATTTAAAAAAATAATAATAATAAAAAAATAACTTAATTAATATTTTTTTATACATATAAATTATAATAATTAATTTCGCAGAAAATTATTTTATTTACCAAAAAAATAAAATAAAATAGTATATAAATATGGTTATATTTTTGTAATAAATATATATAAAATAATTATTAAAAAGTCAAACTAAGCAAATATATAAAAATTATTATAATCCAAATATAATCAACGACTCCTTGAACAAATAATAAAAGCCACCACTCTTTAAATACTTTTTAAATATTGGTTAACGCCTTAAACCTAAAGTAAAAATCTATAAGGCGATATTATTTTGAAGACTCATCTATTAAACACCCATAGAGTACATTCAATTAAATTACATTATATACATAATCTGGATTCCCTAACGTATTTAGTATAGCATTAAATGCATATTTTATATTTATAACTATTAATATAAAAATAATCTTAAAAATGACTCGTCAAACATGTTATACACATTCCATTTCTATTACATGTGGAACATCCATCGTTGCAATTATTAGTATTATCCTTTTCAAAAACTTTAACGCAAATATCTTCATAATCATAATATTCGTATCCAGATAAACATTAATTGCAATGAGTTGAAGTACAAGAACTACAATTACTGAATTTAATACTACAACTAAGACATTATATAGTTTTAATATTCGGATTATCTTCCGAATAATCAAAGTAACCGACTTAACAGTCTAAACATTATCCAGATTA